CTGAAAATAAAGGTCCTTGGAAGCCCTATACTCCAATGTCCACCAAGAGTTAAGTTCATTTAAGTAATGGACACAAATGCAGATTTAATTACTGATATGATGAAGAAAAGTCACATTTAAGAATATTTTTCAGACAAATTATCTAATGTATTTTTTTTAATTTCAGGAGTTTTTCTTCAGTCCCTTACCCAATCACCTCAGCATTTGCACTTTACTTTCTTTTGCTTGCTTCTTCTCTCTTCCCTTACAGATACATAAACAGAAATTGAAGTATTTACACTCTGATAAGCTGCAATCTTGTAAAATGAACATTCTATGCACATCCTCAAAATCTTTGTTTCTTCTTTGATGGCACAAAGAAATAAAAAAGTAATATGTTCTAAGATAAGCATGTGATGTTTCTTATTTTTCTGAACTAGAAGATATTTTTCAATGTCATTTGCACGTTTTTAGCTTTATGATTATCTGACATAATAGGTAACACATCTCATTATGAACAATATTTGTCTTTTTGTAACGTCAAAAGTGTTTTGTATATTTTAGTTGTCAGCACATTATTCTGTTACCTTGTATTTCAAAAATGCAGTGGAATGGTGCCAGAAGGGACAGTTTTAGCAGCAGGATTTTATTATTGTTTCAAATCAACAAGCAGTGTAATAAGACTTTCTAAAATACCCTGCCTTCACAAGCAAACCTTTTGTCCAGCCAGTGGGAAAATGACAGAAGGAATGATTCCTTAAAGTGAAATTGCATTTGAAGCTACATAGTTAATTGCAGCTTTAAAAATGACAAATCAGGTTGAAATTTCTTGTCAAAACCATAAATATATTTTTCAGTATCTAATAACAATTTCTACACTTTTGGACCCCAGAACCCCAGATTCCCCATCTTCATGAACCTAAATCAAAGACATTAGTCGTGAATAAACTTCTCAAGAGGTTCAGTTTCCATTGAACACCAGGTGTTGGATTCGAAAATCAAGAGCTGGTGGCAACGAAAGTGGAAAAGGACAAAAAGAAATTATGTGCTCTCCCTTTTTGGATTTGTTGGACTCAGCTTTTAGCAGCTGTTGGATTTGGACATCAATGGGGCTGTGATGCATCCTCGAGTGCTAAGGCATGAAAGGAGCTCTGTTTGAAAGGATGCACTCCAGCAAAACACAGCTACCAGCGAGGCTGCTGGCACTGCCACCATGCCCTCAACTACCATCCCAGACACTCCATCTTCCAGGAGGCTGAATAAACTCTCTTCCCACTTGTCTACCTTGCAGTGCTTGAAAAAATCATGACACACTGTCTGGAATAAGAGTGGAAATTCTTTTAGATGAAGATCCATAGCAGGCTAGTAGAGGTTCTTGGGATGCAGTTTCTTGTATTACAGAGGACACTACATTTTTTATGTGCTGAGACACCAGACTTTTGGGAAAACAACTTGCTGAGCTCAAGGCCTTGGAATATCTTCTTTTTATTTTCATTTTACTAGACATGGGTCTCAAGCTTCAAAATTACTGCTTTTTTACCCTGCTGCCAATATAAAACTTTCCCCACACCAAAAACATAAATCTGGGGGAAATTGGGGTGTGTACAGGTTGTCTCTCTATTCCCATTTCTGATTTTAGCTACCTATTGAAAGAAATGAACCAGAGGTTACAAACCATGAACAGTGCCAGCAGTGAATTCTCAGAATAAAACCAGAGGTAAAAAAAAGGCATAAAGGTTATTTTCCCTTCCTCCTCAGCACTATCTCCAGCTTTATGATTAAGTTACCATTTTTCTTGCTTTTCTCCTCAACCTTCTTTTTTCTTTTCTTTGGTCATATGGTCTTGGAGCAGGACTGACTGGATAATGACATTTTCAGGTAGACAAAAAGAGGTTCTTTTGTACTTTGCAGCATGCACAGTATCCCAGGGAACAATGCAACAATATTTTTCATAGATAATTTCATATTCCTATTTCCTTCTGTTACCTTTTCCCTCTAAGACACTGTCTGAAACCATTCCATATGCACAGACTAATAATCATGCAATTTCACATCTCTTCGTTGAGATGAGCTTTATTTTTTCTGGAAACTTATTCACAAGCAAGAACACCTAACTAAGTCGGCCAAAGCTGTAACCCTTCCTGAAACGAGTTCTGTGCTGCAGCACAGTAGTAAATGCAAAGCTAAAACCAACAACCTGTTCTAAAGAAAGCCTCGTGAAACTGTTTGATTATGAGTCTGAACTAAATCCACTTTTTAGAAAAGATCTAGCAGCAGTATCACATCATATTCTATTCAAACTGATTTTGCTAATTTTATATTAGGCGCTGTAACATTTACCAAGTCGCATGAAGGATTATAACAGATTTCAAAAAATGTTACATAAATACTAAGCCACGTTTTCTGAAGTGTTGCCTCTGTTTCCATGAGCTGGCTTTGGAACTCTATAGACATAATGGCACCAAAAGAGTGCCTTTCAAAAACCTACAGGAGGTCCAGAAGATGCTTCTAGTCTGCTCCAGCAGCCCCAAAACAGATAGCAAATATTTTTCATGTCAGTGTTCACTACTGGGATACAACAAGAACAGTAACTGCAAAACAGTCATTTATTGCTTAGGCAGATGCTAAAGGCTTTATTTATTATCCTCTCCCCAGAAACCAAATATTTGTGGGATGCAAGTGCTACTGCCAGTAAGGAAAGGCTTTACTTTCATTAAAGGAAGGTTTGAGAAATTCTATTCATAGACTACTGGTTCCATTTGAATGTCTTAGATTCTTACATACCGCCAGGAAGAGTGTGGGCTAAGTGATATGGTAAAATTATAGTAATAAGTGGTTTGGAAAGCTACAAAATCTGCAGCAACACTGGAAAGCTATCATTGTCTCTAAATGTTAATTCCTTTTCTCATCTGCAAGGACTTCTTAAGGTATACAGACTAAAGAATGTAATATTTACAAATTTTCTTCATATTCATCAAAGCACATTTACAAATTATTTCTGTAAAGTTATTCTATGAATTTACACAGTCCTGTCTTTGTCCACAGAGAATATCTTTAGTGTTTCTCTGAAACCTATGGCAGCTCTCTGGAGATGCTCATAAACCACATTTTGACTCTCTTGAGAAATCGAGTTATTATTACCGTATGCCCTCTAGCTGGAAGGAACGCCTTCATTTTCAAAAAGTTACTCAATATACTCATAGGTACTGTTCTGAACAGAAAATCACTTGCTGGCACGTAATAACACAAAGATTAAGGGAAAGGACACCCAGTTCTTCTGCTCACCACCATTTTCCCAGGTAATTCACTTTTCCAAGTGCTTTTCACCACAGCAGCACCTTCTGTCACACCACAAGCCCTGTGAGCCATGGCCAAGGTGGTTCACAGTAGTAAGACAACACCAACCACACTACAGCTTCCATTTAATCTTGCTTCCCTTGGATCCTGAGAAAAGCTCAAAGGTGCAACTGGCTGGGAGCTTCCCACCAGAAAGGGTCCATGATGAAAGAAACCCAGCTACTCCAAAGCCAAAATATTTTATGGAAGACATTTTCCCCCCATTTTATTCTCAGGCTGCTAAGACAAACCTCGAAACAAATATTGACTGCTGCCCAGTCTGACCTGCTTCTGACAATTGTGGTCTGCACAAACAACCTGAAATATTAATTTTCAAACTTATTTCCTATTGAGTTATCTTGCCTCTTGGGAGCAGTGGATCAGAGGCCTGGATGGCTTTGCAGATCCCTGCTCTATGCTAAGCTGGACTTACACATGGCTTGGTAGAATCAGGTCAGTAAATTAAATCAAAAAACATTTTGATTTAGAAAAATCTTAGTTCTACTTTGAAAAAAGACAGTGAGACAAAATGTTCCACTGCTTTAAAATAATTTTTGAATTTTTAATTCCTTGAACACTTTTCATATGTTAACTTTTATCCTTATTAGGAAGTGAAACAACTATTATGCATTTTCTATAGGACCAGGGATGCTTAAAACATAAAGTTTAGTGCTGCCCAAAGAGGATAAGACTGATCACAAACCTGTCCTTTTAAAGTTCTTACTTTTTTTGGTTATAACCTTTAATTTTAATTAGATTTTTCAATACTTGAGGGGTTTTATCACCATGAGGAGGTGCTACTATAAAACCAGTAAGTTTTCTGCAAATCAAGGAGGTAAGAACTTCTCTGTTTTCACTAAACCTCTGTTTCAGTTACTCTAGATATAGAAAAATATCACATAGGCACAATATTAATATTCTCATGATTCATAAATGTCGACATGTTTATACTTAAACACACAAAAATATGGTACTTATGCACTTCTACATAAAGAGAAAAGGTCCAGACAACACTTGAAAAGAACATCCCCTTCCACCACAATGTGCATATAAATGTTATGTAGTGATAATTATTGCAAATATGCTACAATTCCTTATATATTACTCTCAATTTTTTTCTCATGATTTTATCTTCAAATTTCCATCTATCTTTGTAAATGCCCTTTTGTGAGCTATGAGCTACATCAAATTTTTTAACTCCAGACCATGTGTACAATATTGTAGTCAAAGGGAAGAAACTGGAATACCAAACACTGTTTCTTTTTACACCTGCACAGAGGGAGAGTGACTCTTTCAGAATTCAGATAAAATAATAATATTGGATGGGAGAACACAGGCTTTTAATTCCATACATCTCAGTCATGGTTTAATGCACATGTGCTTTAAATCATGCCCTAGTTAACACTTGTGACTGTACAGTTGACCACATTTTCCCCAGAAAATATTTCCACAACCTCTTCCAGTTACTTGAGAGAAATGTACAGCAATATATTTTTTTTCTACAGAAAAATCACTCAGGTAGGGCTCCTTACAGACAGGTATTATTTCTGCCCCTGCAGCTAGAAAAAAAACTCTCTACTTAAAATCGAAGATTTGGAAGATTTACCATTAACAAATATATGCACACACTGGAAATCAAGAGTTTCAGCTCATTGACTATAAAAAGATAATAAGCTGTGTCCTACCTATGGTGGTAATAACAGTGCCAGCAAAGAAGAAGGAACTTCCCAAGTCCCAGTGACTGATCTGAGCAGATGTGTTTCCTAAAGGTATGATTCCTGCATTTATTGCTGCCACTACTTGCTGCAAGTTTAAAAAGATTTTGTCAATATTCATGAAACAATTGTATTCTTATATGTATATATTATACAGTAAATTGATTAATTCATTTATTTCATCCAAGCACTAAACCAGAAAATATCTGTGTTGCTTTGCTTGAGCATTATCACTCCATCAAGGTACAATTTATTCTTCAGAAACCACTCCAGGCAATTCAGAAGAGCTGTAAAGTCCAGACCATTGGAGAGAATGCAAAATCTGTGATATTACTATCTTAGTTAGAAGGCAAACACAATTATTTTTACTGCTGCAACTATTTGGTGAAGAAAAACATGCATTAGACAAAATTTATAATGAGAGTTTCCCACAATGTTCCTGTGTTGTGTTAGGCAAGCAAATGGACTTCTTAAAAACAGTCATTTTAAAACACCAAGAAAAAAATGCCCATGCATTGTTCTGTAGCAAATTAATTCCAAAGAAAGAAAACACTTTTTTAAAACAGACAATTCAATAATTAAAGCAATTACACATACAATTATAAAACTTTCACTATTGCAGCAAATAATCAGTCAAACATTAAACATGTATCTCTATGCAACTATATACTTCAGAAATGTTCTTGAAAAAATCAGTTCTAGCAAATGAAACAACAAGCTTGCCACTAGTGACATCTTCATAGTCTCAAGAAACAGGAAACTTTTCTTCTTTCAGCAGTATCAACTACTGTAAATTCTTATTACAAAATGTGTTCCTGTTATGTTATATCACAATTGCAGATATATACTAGTATTTGAGTTAAAGAAAATGTATTTTAAAACTTGTGACAAATATTTTTTAAAAATATAATTTTCATTTAATTTTTAAACTTTAAAACAGGATTTATTTCTAACTATGATACTTGTGATAATTGATGTCTAACAAAAGAAAAACAGAGGAAGCCATACCACAAAATGAAAATGATAATTTCAACTGACTAATAGGTCCTTCTTGGCAAGATGTACAACAATAATTAGGTACATAAATATATTCAGTGAAAGGACAGACCAGAACCATCTTGCCTTTGGGCAGTCTGTTGCAGAGGAACAGTGTTGTACAGTAGTAATAATTTTTTCAGTCCCAAAATACATTGATTATTTGGAAATTAAAACATTTCTGTCACTAAACTGTCCCTGCATAAGTCACTTGATCTGGGCAGAGATTATGAAGTAACAATGCAGGATTAACTAGGAGATCTATTTTTTTTTTAATGGGACTTAAATCCAACATGAAATCCAGCTTAAATCCAACATTTCCAGGTTGCCATTTTCAAAGCTCAGATGCACAAAAGTTACCATTGTGAAATCCACTGCTGCACCTCTGCAGCCACAGGGATCTTGTTGCCAAACCTACACCATTTCCACCATCCAGGACTGTCAATAGAAAGACAGCTGGGGTATCTTTACACAAATTTTTAATTTTTTTCTTTTATTATTTGGGTTTAAAAAAAATAAACAGAAAGGCAGACATCAAAGAAGTGGAATTTTCAATCTGACTGAGGAAGGAGAAAGGATGGGGAAAGTGAGGGGGAAGAGATTTTAATTTTTCTTGGTGTTAGAAGGATAAATCTTCTATATTAGTACAGGATGTACAGCTTGGCAGGAGCAAATACAGCAGCACTGATACTGACAGGTGTTTCCATCCGTGTAGGAAGGGACACACCAGACTAAGAGGCCTGTGAAAACCATCCATTGAATTGGTTTTATAATTTACACAATGCAGCTATTCCTTTGATTTACAAGGCAGTGTAAATCAGTGTGCTGCATTATACAGAGCCCACTGAGTGCTGTTACATTTCTGGGGACTAAGAACTGCCATCACAAGTCCTGATATCTGCACATGGGAAAACACTCTCCAGCGAGGACATTATATGATAAAGCACTGGGATCAATGTAATTCTTTGAATCATTCTTGTTTCTTGCACTGGATGAAGGTGCTACCCAGAGCAATGCACCTGTTTAGACAGTCTAGCAAGACCAAATTTTATACAAGTCCAGATGTAAAATGGATTTGTAAAATCCAGGGCTTTTATCATCACTGCACATTTTTGAAGCCAAAAGTACCTCAAGCCTTTTATAGGAAAGGTGTTCCAATCTAAACTGCTCAACGATCCCCTACAGCTATGCATTTCCTGACTTCATCTGCCACACCTATATTTTTCCTGGAAAAAAAAAGTACAGCTTAACCCAAAACTGCCCAAGGCACGACAGATGGCTACAAAAGACAATTAGTCGCTATTATTATGTCTCTGATTTTATCCAACTGCTAAGCAGGGAAATAATCAGGGCTGCTTTCAGAGATGCTTCCTTTTCGTACAGCCTCCTAAGTTCTGACTACACACACTTATAGGGACTTTCTGAGTAGGAGGCTGCATCTGCATCGTGGTGTTCAGATTGGCTTGGGTGAATTGCTTTGCCATTTATTTATCTAATTACTTTTGGAGCTCACTTGTATTTTGGGAGCCAAGTCGTTCTGTGGCAGTAAGATCTTCAAATTACTTGTGGATCATTTAAAGCATATTTCCCTTTTGAGAGTTTGTATGCACTTCAAAATAATTTTTTAAGTTCTTATGTTATGAGGAACACTTGAATAGCAATTTCTGATTTGTCTCCTTCAAGAAATGAATGATATTACAGACCACTCAGCTTCCTCTTTCTTTCCAAACTGAAGAATCTTTCTTATTAAATAATATATTTACCTATTTAAACAAATCTATTGTATATCGCCTGTAAGTGTTTTTTAAATGAGGGGGCTTTTTTTACTGCCAGTATTTCTCATTGATTTTCTTTGTACATTTACTGATTCACATTGGTAAATTTGTTGACTGTTTTAAGCAGTTTTAGTCATAAAGGGCCAGATGATGCCTTCATCATCACTGGGCTGTTGTTTCCAAACACACAATGTTATGCTTTCTTCTGGGCTGTGACCGTGTTTGGGAGAAGTTAGGCTAGATAAAGCTGCCACATTTAATTCCTTCAGAGACATCTGTAAGAGTCTTCCTGACTAACAAGGGTGACAGGTGGGTAAGGTTACTGGTTTACTGAGGTCAACTGTCTCATCAAGTCTTTGAATGTTGCCTGCAGATTTTTCAGGAAGGATGACTGCATTTTCAACTCTTTGGGTCAGAGGATGACTTTTCTTCTTAGACTGGTCAGCAATCATGAGAAGATCGTCATCTAAGACTATTCCCAAGAAAAATTTAAGAAGAAAATAATATATTGCATAACTCCTTGTACATTTCAGGGCAATAATTTCAGGGTAGCATCTTTGTGACATGTTCACAACCCAAACTTATCTGGAGGATTGGATATTAACACTTCTCTGAATAAAACTCAGGCTCCACTAACTTCACTAAGGGCCAGGATCTCAGCCTTAGTCTTCAAATAACAGGCTTATTATTTGCTGTCAGAGCTGTCTGCCACCTTAATTCATGGTCTTTCAGCCTATTTTTTGACTGATGCCTTACTACTAACTGCTACTGCAAACTTCATTTGTCATGAGTTTGATTTCCTTCCTTCCTTCCTCCCTCCCTCTCTCAATTCTTGCTGTCACTTGAGACCTTTGATTTATCTTAACTCAAACAGTAGTGAAAGTAACTGTGCATTTTGAATCTAAAAGCAGAATAATGAAAACTCTATAATCTGTACAGTAATCATATGCTGCAGCCTTTAAATGCTTTGTGTAATTTTAACATGGGAACTTCCTGATTTATAAAAATTATTTTCCATTATTAAAGTTAACTGACCTCTTCAGTGGCAATTTTTATAGTATTTTATTCCATATACAAAATAAATTGTTCTAAAAATCAGTTCTGTTTCAACACTACAGAATCGGTCAGCATTAGAACAGGGATGTAGACAGATTAAATTCTTAAAATATGCAGACTATTTCACTTGAATTGCCTTATTCCAGAGTCTTTGTCTAGTCCTTGTTTCAAATGAGATGACTGAGGACTGAGCAGAGGGTGGGTCACCCAGCACATGGCACCCAATAAAGGCCTCTATGCAGAATGATTTTAAAAATCATAGTATGTAAGTTACACTTACAGTAATATGTTTTTCTTCTTTAATTATCTTTATAATGGTGAAAAAAACAGGCTTTTTTTTTTTTTTTTGACAATGAAGTAAATTGAGATAAAATTTTGACACATTAAAAATTTTAGAAAATTCCCATTTTTTGAGTTAGGTCAATTCTTAGGCTGCCTCTGTACTGTATCTTAGGATAGGCATGAAGTGTGTCTGAAATCAAGTCCTCACTTGCACTACACCTATACATCCCAACTAGTTGGCTTTGCAGCCACATTTGGGAACAAGCTTTAGTAGAGCATCAGAGAAAAGAGGCAGAGATGATTGAGCCCAGAGTGGACAGGCCAGGCATGACCAGAGCTCCAAAAGCACATAAGTATTGCTTTCACACCACACATTCTTTGCTTGAAATCAGAACACTGGGAAAAGGAGCATGAGAACACAAGTCCCATTTTAATTCAATGTCAGTATTTCATTTTCTGTATAATTTAGAAACAGTTTCTGGTAAATACAGTGTGCAGTTTTGTGTTATTCCTGTGTTATGCAGGCATTTCTCTGTAGAGGCCATGCTGAACTTTGCTTTGCAGATTAAGACACAGGATACTGTGACTTTTCTTCTGTCAAAGGAAGAAATAAAACAGTCTTTTGAACAGCACAGTCATTTTCTGAGAACAGAAGACAATTCTAGATGAGGGATTTCATCTTCTGGTGCTCTGACCCTGCAGGGAGTCAATGGCATTGACTGACAAAAGGCAGCCTGCTGGTCAGGAGCTACATCCACTAAGTGGGTCTGCAGAGACACAGCAAAATAAGGAGAGTTTATACAGTATGAAGGCTGGCCTCTGGTAGTCAGCTGTTGTCTCACATGGAAATCAGGCAGAAATAAGTATGTGTCACACCAGTCACTCCAATGCTCATCTCCTTGTCCCACACCAGGCTCTGAATACATGTTTTTCTACCATC